GCTTCCCTACATACCCTCCTGTTCAGGTGCTGGTTTCATGTATGTCTGGTGGCTGTTGATGTTTTCTTCACTCGCTTTTATTTTGAGGTTCATGTGGATACCTTGTAACCCGCTTTTGTTATAAATACTATCTGTGGGATTTTGATTTTGCTATTTTAGTCAGTCTGTTTGATTTTAGGTGGTAATTCAGGCAGATTAAAACTCTGTGATGTAGCATCTGCCATCTAGAAGCCATAATCCATTCTGTGTTCACATTTTTAAAACTCCCCTGTGTGGGCTTAGAGTTTCTGGCCCCTGGGCTATGGAATGTCAACTATATAGTGCTTTGTTCTGAAGTTTTAGTTCAAATGTGTTTGGATATTGCAAAACCTATGAGTGTGGAAAAGGTTAGAAGAAAACAGTTTTTCGGGGTGCCTGAGTGGCTCAGTGGGTTAAAGCCTCTGCCTTCGGCTCGGGTCATGGTCCCAGGTCCTGGTTTCGAGCCCTGCATCGGGCTCTCTGCTCTGCAGGGAGCCTGCTTCCTCCTCTCTCTCTGCCTGCCTCTCTGTCTGCTTGTGATTTCTGTCAAATAAATAAAATATATATATTTTTAAAGTCTATCATTATAGTGGAAATGAAAGTATTTATAGATTTTAGCAAAGTTGAAAGTAATGCAAAATATATTTGTTTATGGAATGAACAACAAGAACTTTCTGAAGGCCAAAGAGCAAATTATGTAACATGTGGAGCGTAGTGCCTGTGTCATTGAAGGTAATCAGAATCAACAAGAGATGGGGAAAGTGATGGGGCAGGGAGAACCTTTTAGTTCAAGGACAACCATCAGAGTCAGATTTCTGGGAGCTTAACATTTATTTAGGGAAAAACAAGGGGTTAATCAGAGATTAAGTCTGAAAACAGTGTAAATTGAGCTTTGGTCACAAGTTACAGAGGGTTTTATAAATTCAGGGCTACTTAAAGACCTGCTTAAAGTGAATGCCTGTTGGCCAGTGCAAGCACTAGAGCTACTTGGCCATTCCTTATTCTACTAGTAAATAAAGATAGTTAAAACTTCAACAAGAGGGGCTCCTGGGTAGGCTCAGTTGTTAAGCATCTGGCTTCAGCTCAGGTCATGATGCCAGGGTCCTGGGATGGAGCCCTGCATCAGGCTGCCTGCTCAGCCTGCTTCTTTCTCTCCCACTCCTCCTTTGTGTGTTCTCTCTCTCTCTCTCTCTCTCTCTCTCTCTCTGTCAAATAAATAAAATCTCCCCCCCCAAAAAAAAACAACAAACAAAAAACTTCAACAATATTTGAAAAGAAATTTTAGAGTAGCCAAAACTCTTTTAAGGAAAAGAAGCAGCAGCAGCAGTAGCAGCCTCATAGAAGAAGATTTATCATCATAGAGGAGAAAAATATTTCTGATTTAAAAGTGATGAAGGACCAGCTAACATATCTACTTATGGGAAATGCATCCAGTGACTGTAAGCACAGTCCCTTGCAAACAAATTGACTTCTTTATACCTTCAGGGACCTAACCTGTACATAGACTAGCTTCTGTACAGTTTAGACTGAGTAATAGCAGACTGTTTCATAGAAGATGCAGAAACATGACTTTTAATATCTTTCAAGACAGCCATGGACAGAAAGTCAAATCATATCAATGAAAATAGTTTTGCAGAGAAGAGGACTAGTGTGGTCCAGCTATACACAAGTGCAGAGGCTCAGGCGCATGAGAAGAGGTTAGTGTGGCTGAGAGAAATGAAGGTAGAAGGTAGTGGAAATTAATGAATTTGCAGAGGGAATCAAAAGCAAGATCATATAGGGCCTTATAGGCTATAATGATGAGAACTTTAGGTTTTATTCTAAGGTGTTTGGAAGCCATTAGCATGTTGAGAGTAGAGAAAGGGTGAGCAAGTACCATAAATGATAGGTTCACGCTAAATGGAGGCCATGCTTTGGACAGTGATACAGATGTGTCAGAATGAAAACAACATGGGTTAATGTGGACTTTGAATTTTTTTAATTTGAAAATTTGTGGTTACGTAAGAGCTATGTAAGAGGTGTTGAAACACATACACACATACATACACACCTTTTTGTTTTCCAGAGTTTGCTAACAATACTGAAACTCATTTCATATATTCTTATTTTTTTAAAGATTTTATTTATTTATTTATCAGAGAGAAAGCGAGAGCACACAAGCTGGGGGATTGGCAGAGGGAGAAGCAGGCTCCCCCTGAGCAGGGAGCCCAATGCCAGACTTGATCCCAGGACCTGGGATCATGACCTGAGCCAAAGGCAGAGGCTTAACCCACTGAGCCACCCAGGCATCCCTAGTCTTATTTATGTTCTATTCTTTTTAAAGTTTAAAATCAAAATGTTAGCCACAGACTACGAAATGACTTCGTAACTCACTAAGGATTAGATAGAACGTGAAGTTGGAAAAACACTGTAAATCTAGTATAACCCCTTTATTTGGCTTGTGAAGGCATATAGTACTACAAATGACCAAGCCAGAATCCAGATATTGCCACATTTCCCATGAATATGTTCATTAAGAAATAAAAACCAAATTCCCCTATACAGTATAACAGTAGGTCCCAGGGTAGGAAAAAATTGTGAGAGTAAGTGTTTCTACTTGAGTGTATTTATTACCTGTGCTTCTCCTTCTTGGTGTGAAATGGTAAGACCTATAAATTTCAAATGGACTTGTAAAATATCAACACAATTTTCATCATTAATGGTCTGTAATTATATAAACTGCTAGTGAAAGTAACAGTTGGTTTCTTCTGAATTACAAACAGAGAATAAGTCATTTATGGACAGCCTGGTGGCCTTTAAATTGTCATCTAGGAATTAATGAAAAGAAATGTCATTTTCCTATTTTCTTCAAGATGTATATTCTTTCGCTCTGTTTCATTTTGGAAAAGAGTTTGTGGGAGGAGTGAAGGATAAATGAAACATAAAGGTCAGTGTGAAGTAATCGGGGAATAATGGCCCTTTCAATTCTATTATATGAATCCTTGCTCTTAGCTCTGTGACCTTTGGCAGATATCTGCCTGTGCCTCATTTTCCTCATTTACAAATGGAAATAATATCTGTATCATAGCTTTAATGTTAAGATTAAATGAGGGTCTGGTGGTATAACATATATTTTAATAAATATTAGTTTTCTTCTTTACATTCTTCCTTAGGAAGGAATTCAGTGAAAATCTGTTGCTAGAATAAGTAGGGCTGGAGAGTGTAGAAAAATGCAAAAAGAAAGGTACATCATTTTTTATTGGTTGTTTTCCTCCTAGTAAGTCTGTTGTGCATGATCCCAACTGTTCCTGACTTCTTTTAGAATAGGTAGGTGATATATAAGTAGGTTTTCTATGCCTCTTTCTACTCCTTCTCTTTTTATTTTATTTTATTTTTTTATTATTATTATTTTTAAAGATTTTATTTATTTATTTGACAGAGAGACAGATCACAAGTAGGCAGAGAGGCAGACAGAGAGAGAGGGGGAAGCGGCTCCCCACTGAGCAGAGATCCCGATGTGGGGCTCGATCCCAGGACCCTGGGATCATGACCTGAGCCGAAAGCAGAGGCTTTAACCCACTGAGCCACCCAGGCGCCCCACTCCTTCTCTTTTTAAAGAGGGAAGTTACCCAAGTGTTGAAAGGCAGGTTTAGGAGGCCAGGAAACAGTAGCTTCATAGCTGATTCCAGTATTTTAGTTCCTAATGTCTCCAATCTGCTTTATTACAAAGAATTTGCTGAAGATAGGTCATTCCTAATACCAAGTATATTAGTTAGCTGGTAGCTATTAATTATAGGTGTTACCTAAAACCAATTGTCCTCGCCTGTGGAATAAAACACTTTCTTTGTTTTAACTCAGATATCCTAGGAACAAGATTACAAAGAATGAGATGGAAAGGTAGAATTTTGTCTAACTGGGTTTTCTTAAAAATAACAGCTTTATTGAGATATAATGCACATACTATAAAATTCACCCTTAATGCACCCTTGGGGTGCCTGGGTGGCTCAGCCTGTTAAGTGTTCTGCCTTTGGCTCAGGTCATGATCCCTGGGTTCTGGGATCCAGCCCGGGATTGGGCTCCTTGCTTAGCCGGCACACACTGCTTCTCTCTTTGTCCCTCCCTCTGCTTGTGTGCTTGCGTGTGCTCTCTTTCTGTCAAATAAATAAAAATCTTTTTTTTTAAATTCCCTTTTTAAAATGTACAATTTACTGGTTTTTAGTATATTCACAAAGCTATGTAACCATCACTATTATTTAGTTTTTAGAACATTTTAGTCACCCACAAAAGAAACCTTGTTCCCATTAGCAATTATTTTCTACCATCGCTCTCCATCACCAGTCTCCTGCCCCTTTACCCTTCTTTCCCTGGTATCTCAACCCCTTGCAACCACAAATGTGCTTTTTGTCTCTATGGGTTTGCTTATTCTGGGTATTTCATATAAATGAAATTATATAATACGTGGTCTTTTGCAACTATTTTATTTTTAAAGTTCATCCGTGTTGTAGCATGAATCAGTAAGTACTTCATTACTTTTTATATTGCTAAATAATGTAATATAATACAAATACACTGCATTTTGTTTACCTGTTTATCAGCTGAGGGACATTCATTTCAGGTTGTTTTCACTTTTGGGCTATTACGAATAATGCTGCTATGAAGTTCATGTACAAGTTTTTGTGAGCACATAGGTTTTCAGTTCTCTTGCATATATACCTCAGAGTAGAATTCCTAGGTTATATGCTAACTTTTTGTTTAACATTTTGAGGACTTTAACTGTTTTCAAAAGTGATTGCACCATTTTGTCTAGCTGGATTTTAAATCACTTGGTTTCCAGGTTCTAATTTCCTATATATTAAAGGAGAGCCTTAGCTGGAACAAGTGGTTTGAATTGATAGGGGAAGAAATCCACCTGTAGTAGTTTGCAAAGGTGGAAACCCTTTTTCTTAAAGTAGGTTTGGAATGATTAGTATTAATCTCTGTTCCTTTTTTTTTTTGTTTTGCAGTTTTATCTCCAAGACACTAAAAGTAGTAACGGTACCTTTATAAATAGCCAGAGATTGAGTCGAGGCTCTGAAGAAAGTCCACCATGTGAAATTCTTTCTGGTGACATTATCCAGTTTGGGGTAGATGTAACGGAGAACACACGGAAAGGTACGGGTATGGATCAATTTTTCCTATTATTTGTCTTTTTAAGTTAAAAAAAAATTCTGTTTAATGTTATAAAACATTTCATGTTTGTAAAAGTATTTAAATACAGCATTATATGCAGTGAAAAACTAAAAATCTCTTACTTTCCCTATTGGTTTTCTGAAGTTTTAAATTCTGAAATGTTAATAAGTGAATTTATAGTTTTCATCACAGTATGAAAATATAGGACACTCCTCTGCTAGTTTGGGAAGCAGTTGACTGCATTGACAGCATACCCAACCAACAGGACCTTAAACTTAAGGATATCTATTGTTAACAAGAATGCAGGAGGGTAGGTCCAACTTTGTTCACTTGATTCAGTAGTGTTACCAGGAATCTGGGTCTTACTGTCCTTAACATGTTGGTTTCTTATGCTTTTGCTTATTGTAGGTTTTTGCTTGTTGCCTCATGGTTAAAGAGCCCCAAACGTCAAGCAAAAACTGCAAGGCAGGGACAAAGTGTCTTCTTGTATGGCTCTTTTTTTATGTTGAAAACACAGTCTTTTGTAGAATTCTTTCAGCAGATTTACACTCCTCTTGTCCCAGTGGCCACATACATACCTATCTATGGCTACAAAGAAGCCTAGGAAGTTACTTACCTGGCAGAAGGGATCAGGATCTCCATGATTGTCATATGTCAATTATGATTTATCCCTTCCAGTTGTGTGTACATTGTCCCAAACAAAATCAGAGTTCTGTAGGCAGTTAATAGTACCCATCAAGATATAAGATTTCACATCTCAGTTTTTGAAACTAGAAGCTCTTTAGCTAAATAAATGTGGATTGTCAATTTTACAATTCTGAAGCTTCCTGGCTTTACCTGCTTCACTGTCTACTTTATGGCCATGAAATTATATGGCTGGATCATAAAACTAAATCAATATGAATCAAAAGTATGCAATTTTGCTGTCTTATGGACAATGGAACCAGTTGACAGGTTTCTCCTTTTGCTTCTCTGAACATACTTTGATCTGGTGATGCCCTAAGTCATCAGTATGTGACATTTTGCACAGTGGACATAGAGATGAGGGTGGGTGGGTGGTGCTGCTGCTACCATGTGTGTGCATGTGCATGTATGTTTATATACTTTTCACTGGGTGTTGCAACTGCAATATATTTTTACCAGGTTTTTTGTTTTTTGTTTTTTTAAAGATTTTTTATTTATTTATTTGACAGAGATCACAAGTAGGCAGAGAGGCAGGCAGAGAGGGAAGGGGGAAGCAGGCTCCCTGCTGAGTAGAGAGCCTGATGTGGGGCTCCATCCCAGGACCCTGAGATCATGACCTGAGCCGAAGGCAGAGGCTTTAACCCACTGAGCCACCCAGGCGCCCCTATTTTTACCAGGTTTTGATAGCCTTCTCAGGGAGTTAGATTTTGGTATTTGAATTCAGGTAGTGTCATATTCTTAGTGATTTCCATTTACAGTTGTAAAATAGAAAGTTTGTATTTTGATACAAAAAGTACTGAGTATTCCGTACAAAGAGAGCTCACCTTATGTATGACCGTACTAAGAGCAGCCATGTTGGACACTGTTGCATTTGTTGCATCACACCATCTCTGGTACCAAGTCATTCAGCAAACACTTACTGAGTCCCAGCTGTGAATAACCCACAGAGAAGACAGAGAATTTGATTACATATTTTCTCCAAGGAATGTCTTCTTGGCTTGCATTTCCCAAAGAGAATTAATAGGTGTTAATTAATAAAAGAATGAGGTTGTCAAATGCACTTATAAAATGCTTAGTTAACCAAAAGTAAACAGGACCTCTCACAGTCCTTAATATGCTAACATATATGCACATCTCCAGGGAGGTGACTGTTCTAGAACACAGCTCTTTCCAAACCCCTGCCCACTCTTTCCCATCAGCTGTGAGAGACACTCTTTAGAACATGCTGTAGGAAGCTAAGAGGACTAAATCCTGAAATTCAGGGTTATTATTAGAGCACTATTATTTTAGAAACGTTAGATTCTTGTAGGCTTCTTTGAACATTTAACTATCTTTTATGCCAACTTTAAGGAAATTAATTAAAGAAAAATTTCTTCATCATTTAAAATGTTTCTTTTGGTATTTATTATCTTCAAAAAGTTGATGTATGCCTGGGCTCTTGGGATACAGCTCTATCACTAGCTGAGGACTACCTGTTTAAGTGTATACCAGGGAAAAAGACTTTGTCCTTTGCTAAACAGTACTGTGATAAGCTTTATATCACTTAGAAAATCCTCCTGAAATTATATAGCACTATAGGTTAACCTCTGGTTCAAAGAAGAAATCAAAAGGGAAATTTTAAACTATATGGAAAGGACTTTTATACCAAAATACTGTAAATACTTTACTCAAATAAAATTTACAGTCTTAAATTCCTTCTGTACTAAAGAAAAAGGACGATGAAGAAACTTGGCATTTAGGAGATATTAGAAAAAGAACAAGAAAAAGAAAAGCAGAAATTAATGAAATAAGCAAAAAACTATAGAAGGGATGAACAAACCAAATGCTGGTTCTTTGAAAATCATCCAACCAACCAGCAAACACTAAACAGGTAATTCACAACCCTTAAATCCCTTATTACGTTAAAAAAATACTAGCAAAAATACACAAGATAAGGAATGAGAAAGGAGACATAAATACAGATACAGGATATGCTAAAAGAATTTTGAGAAACTAGTACATGCCAATCTATGACAAAGAAAAAAGCTACAATAAATTGTTGTCTTAGCAAAATTATCCCAAGATGTAGAAAACTTGAGTAACTTGTTTTCCTTAAAAGAGACTAAGAAGCTATTAAAGATTGACCAGAAACAGAGGCATTCATAGCTGAATATAATCATATTTTTAAAAGCAGATAAATCCAGTTATTTAAATAATTCAAACATGTATAAAGATGGAAAGCTGTCAAAATCTACTTTAGAGAAGCCAGCAGCATATCATTAATGTCAAATTCTGATAAAGATACAGTTCAAAAACAGAAAACTAGCACTATTTTCATTTGTGACAATAGATGAACAATTCTGATTAAAGTATTAGTAAATTAACTTCAGAAATAATGCTAGAATAAACAAAGTAGGTTTTATTCTAGGAATGCAAAAATGATTCAGTATTGGGGATATATACTAACATCATCCACAACCTAAAAATGTTACATGAAAAACGTGTTACTTTATAACCAGTAAGTATTGAAAAAGCATTTGATTTCTCTTTTCTCATCTGGCATGGCAGCCAGCCTCCCTCCTCTCCAGCTCCCTTGTACTTCTAGCCCTGGCTTCCCTTTTCCATCAGGCCAGCCTGAGCACTTCCCCTGTTCTTGAGGTTGGCCCTATAGCTTCTGGCTCCTGCGCTTTCTCCTTTCCTGGGTCTTAAGGCCTCACCCTCCCCCCGCTATGAAGAGGAGTACAAGGTACTCCTGCTGGGCACCAGCCTGACTGGATATATCCTGTCAGGTATAATGTCAATACATGGAAAGAAGGTTCTTCCCATGGATAGAAATTTATACTGTGGAGGAGAAATTCATCTCTAATACCTCTGAAAGATTTATACAAAAGATTTAAAATACCAGGAATACCACTACCGTCAATGGGGAGAAGAGACTGGAATGTTGACTTAATTCCCAAGTTCCTTATGGTCAGTGGTCAGCTGGTTAAGATGCTGCTTTATACAGAGGTCAGTTGCTCTCTGGTTTTCAAAGTGACTGAAGGGAGCTTTGTCTGTAAGGGAGGAAATATCTATAAGGTTACTTCCATTGAAACAGAAGCCCTGGCATCTAGCTTAGTGGAACTGAAAAACATCGCTTCAGAAAATTCCTAGTGTGTGTTGCCAGCTTTGATGAAATTTAGAAGGCATTGATCCTAAGAAGACTTGCAGTTCGGGAGGTGTACAAGAAATTTGACTTGGGATAAGATCATAGATTTTACTGGCCATGCCCTGGCATTTTATAGAACTGATGACTATTTGGGGTGGGTGGTTGGGGGGGCTCAGTTGGTTAAGCATCTGCCTTTGGCATAGGTCATAATCCTGGGCTCCTGGGATTTAGCCTCTTGTTGGGCATCCTGCTCAGCAGGGAGTCTGCTTCTCTTCCTTCTGACCCTCTACCCTGCTCATGCTCTTGCTTGCTCTTTTTCAAAACGAATAAATAAAAAATCTTAAAAAAAAAAATAAAAAGAATGGATGACTATTTAGATGAACCATGTTGTGAAACCATTAAGAGGATTAAACTTTACAACAAGTCTCTGACAAGATACGGCAAAAGCCTATACCTTTATCCTCTCCATGGTCTTGGAGAACTTAGCCTGGAATCTGCAGGGCTAAGTGCTATTTATGGTGGCACCTACATGCTCAATAAACGAACTGAAGAATCATTGTGCAGAATGGAAGAGTGATTGGTGTGAAATCATACCAAAAGTGATTGGTCTGAAATTACAGGAGAAGCTCCTTGCTGTAGGCAGCTCATTTGTGATCCCAGCTGTGTCAAAGACCAGGTAGAAAAAGTGAGCCAGATGATTAGAGTTATCCGAATCCTCAGCCACCCCATCAAGAACACCAGTGGTGCCAACTCCTGCCAGATCATCATTCCCCAGAACTAACAGTTGGAAGTCAGATATCTATGTCTGTATGATCTCCTCCGTATACAATGTGGCAGGACAAGGGAAGTATATCACCATAGTTAGTACAACTGTGGAGATCAGTGAACCAGAGAAAGAAATCAGACCAGTTTTGCAGCTTTTGGAACTGATTGAAGAGAAATTTCTTAGCATTTGTGACCTTGTGCCAGAAGGCTTGGGAACAGAAAGCCAGATCTTTATTTCCTGCACATACAATGCCACAACTCACTTTGGAACAACTTTTGATGACGTTAAAGTCATCTGTAAGAGGATGATCGAATCTGAGTTTGACTTTGAGGAAATGAACATAAGAAAAATGACATCTATGGGGAAGACTAACAATAGTACAATTTATTATCTAATTGGGACAAA